GACTCTCTTGAATTCAAATTCCACAGCTTCAACATCAAAAAAGTTCCCTCCTTTGAACTTTGATGTTTTGGGGAAACCGCCAGTTGTCCCAGATCAGAAGAAAGGTTCAAGAGGTTGCAGCAGCAAAATTGGAAACAAATTATCTGTTCAAGTATGTCCAAAAATCTTGCCTTTTTTCAGTTTAATCTTTAAAACTGATGTATAAAAGCAAATGATTTTTTTCCAGGCCGAAACAGCAAATGTTGAACCCAACATGGTTAAGATCCACTCTGCTGAAGAACTTGTCTGTTCCTTACAAAATGCTGGTGGCCGATTGGTCATTATTGACTTCTATTCACCCGGTTGTGGAGGTTGCAAAGCCCTCCATCCCAAGGTATGTATGCATGCATGTGTACATATGAACAGTTCATGACCCAGTTTCCAAAATCAGCCAAAAGTGAAGATTTTTTAACAAAAAAAAGTGTTCTTGGTTTCAAGTAACTTGTCTCAAAGATTTGTTGATGTTGGCTTTTTGTGCTGAAAGATGATTAGTAGGGCTAATTTGTTTTAAATGTGGGCTTCATTGAAATGGTGAAGAATATGAGAATTTAGTTCAATTTGTTCTTTTGTTGAATTGAAGCACTTGTTGAAGATTTGCTTTTGATCGTTGGTTAATGTTTCCAAACAGATCTGTCAACAGGCCTAACAGAATCCGAATTCGATTTTCCTCGAAGTGAACTATGAGGAACTGAAGAACATGTGCCACTGTCTCAATGTCCATGTCCTGCCCTTCTTTAGGTTGTACAGAGGTGCTGAAGGCCGACTGTTCAGCTTCAGCAGCGCCAATGCTACCGTAAGTTTTCCGTCCTCGTTCGGGGTAGTTACTTGTTACTCTATCCGTAACGTTTGATTCGGACCATATATGCAGATCAAGAAATTAAAAGATGCATTGGCAAAACACGGTTCGAACCAATGCAGCCTCGGTCCTGCGAATGGTTTGGATGACTCGGAGCTGATGAAATTAGCATCGGCCGGCGAATTATCTGCAAGTAGACTACAACTACCTTCCTTGAAGGCAGAAACAAAGGAGGATTTGGCGATTATGAGAAGCATGGGACTCTCTGCTTCGTTAAACAGTGCAGATAATAATCAGATGAAGCTCGAAAAAGAGGGTACTCTGCCATAGCTCTACCCTCTTGGTCTTGGAAGTTGTTTGTTGTACGGATTAATCAATATATTGAATCGAAGTTTTAATACATAGTATGAATATATTATATTATGAATGAATTATAGTTTAATATAGCATAGATTTTTCGGTCCATAAAATTATTTAATGAACTTGACACATCGCGTTATTTATGATTTTAATGAATCACATTCATTAAATTTAAAATAATTCTTAAATAATTGTTCACTCCTTAATTATATATATATATATATATATATATATGTATATGAAAAAAATAAATATTCCCATCGAAGAAAAATGATAGATGATTTTTATGGTGATACAGATATATAACCGTGGCACTGACGTGGATTCATATTCAAAATTGGACCCCACTTGCATTCGTAATAATGTGTGGTGAGAATCCGTCACTTGACATTGCGCCCAATCGTTTTTCCTTTTAAATCAGATATATTTGGATTTTACATTTTAAGATTTGCGTAAAATACACTTTTCATCACTGAACTTTTTTCTATATCCTATTATTTTCACTGAACTTTAAAAGCTTTTAGTTTAATAACTCAACTTTAGACATTAAACATTTTTTATGGTGACGAAGGTTACTAGTAAACAACGTTTCGTTCCCTTTGTAGACATATTTGATGACTAACTAAACAAGACCGTTGTTAGACTTCTACTTACTGTAGGTTAAAGAGAGAAATGAGAAGAAAAGGAGAGGGGGAAGAAGAAGAGAGAAAGGAAAAGGGGGAAAAAGTTTTCTGTTTAGACCAAAACGACTTTGTTTTACTCTAAGTTTAATTTTATATAAAGATTCAAAGCTACGTCATTTTGGTGTTAATTGCCCTATCATAACATCATTAATTATGGTGTTAGTTACTCTATCATAACATCGTTAATTATTTAATGGTAGACTGACTAAAAATTTTCAATATTCAATGTTTACTGAGTAAATTGAAAACTTTTAAAGTTTGGTGAGTAAAATAGGTGAGAGAAAAAAGTTCAGTAATAAATAGTATGCTTTACCTTTAAAATTTTAGTGTATGCTTTACCTTAAAAATTTTTGTGTAAATTACACCGTATCCCTTAAAATTTTAGTGTAAACTACAGTGTATATCACTATATTTTAAAAAGTGTATCATTTATATCATTAAACTTTTAATTTCTCCAATTATAACATTAAATTTTAAAGTTTAACTTCAATTATGTCATCAAGCAGTATGATAACACGATAAAACAACTATGTTGTGACACGTCTGTTGATACTTAAAATGATATTGTTTTAGGCATTTAACTTTACGGATGGATCAATTTCGCTACTAAAATTTTTAACAGTTTCATTTTTTATATTTTACTTTTCCAATAGTTGTCAGTAGACAATCACCGTTCGTCAACGATAATCTTTTGTGACAAGATCAATATTAAAATATTCACATTTCATCCATCTTTATTTACATATGATTGTATTTTCACGAAATCAACTAAAAACGTTCTACTATTTTAGAGACCATGAAAGCTTTAAATGAAGTTCGCTCGGCTTATAATCGTAAATTTTTTTGAGATAAAACTCATTTCCGATAATTTTGTAATTTATAGGGATCAAAGAAGTTCGTTCAACTTAAAATTCTTTTTTGGTATTTTCAAAAAGACATATTGTCAAAATTATCCTTCAATATTTATCAAAATTATCATTTTATCTCTATTTTTAATATTTTAACTCAATATTTTGTTTTAAGATAAAAACTCTATCATTTTGACTAAATAGTCATTTTACTCTTTATTCTTTTATCTATAATATTTTGACCCGACATTTCATATTCAAGTTAAAAATTTTCATATTTTAAAACATCCATTTGTTAACTACAATTTCCATCCAAACGAGGACTTATGTCTCAAAATGAAACATTAAAAGTTAAAAGAATTTAAAAAAAAGGATAAGATCAAACCGATAATTTAATCAAACATTAGAAAATAGTTTCAACATTATAACTGTGTAACATGTCCGATACAGAAATTTAGAATAAAATTATCCAACTTATTTTCACGGCAATTTTACCAACAAAATTTATTATTTACTAATATAACATTCATTTGTCATTATTTATCAAAATGTCATCTATTAGGATAAACTCGTCTTACACATACGTCGCAAAGGCACTTTCTAAAAAAAAGCGTTTATTCTGATTTGACAATTCTTTCAAAAATGTAATTTTTAAAATTTTTAAAAATAAAACTATTAGAACCAAAAATGTAATTTGATAAATCTTGACTCCATGAATTAAAAGATTAATTGGGTTAGTTTAATATACATAAATAGAGCATTAAGTTCTGTTTGTTAACAATGTGGGATTAAAAAGAAAAATATTCTTTATAATTTTTTTCATATAATCTCTTTCTTTACATTTATGTAAAACCACTTATATTATTGGTTAAATTGACGAGATAATGTTGTGGGGAAAAAAATTCACGAGATAATAAGTTCCAACAATTAATTGCTGAGATATGATTGCTGAGATATGATGTTTGCTACAGTTCGAACGTAAGTCACCAAGGATATTGATTGGAGGGAGAATGGTTAGGGTTTAGTGTTTATTTTTTAAGGTTTAGGGTTTTCAATAACAACTAAAATATTTTAAGGTTTAGGGTTTTGTCATAATAAAACTGATTTTATCATATTTTACATGTTATATTGTTATGTATCGATACATGTTTATAAAATATCGATACTTTATAGGGGCTATTATGGTTGTTTTTCTTTTTCCAAAAGTATCAATACATATTTGAATGGAATCGATACATTCAACATATTCAGTAGCGCTTTACTGGTTTGTCATAATGAAAGCGATTTTGTCATAGTTTTACCTGTTATATTGTTAAGTATCGATAAATGTTTATAAAATATCGATACTTTATAGGCGTCAATATTACTTTTCTTTTATAAAGTATTATGGTTTTGTTAAATATTATTAAAACTTAAATATTATAATATTAAATATGCATATCTCTACGTTAAATGTAAAAAGAATAAATTCGACTCATTATAAGTTTAACTATTTATAAATTCAATTTAAATATTTAATCATTATTAAATAATTATGAGTAATCATTATTAAATCTTTATTAATAATTATTATAATTTTAGTATTACTAATTATTACTAAATCGTTAATATCAAATTATTAAATATTAATAATAAATCATTATTAGTAATCTAAAATATTATCAAATTAGTAATAATCATTATTAAAACATTATTATCAAATAATTATCAAATCTTATAATTTTATTATTAATGATCATTACTAAATCATTAGTATCATATCAAATCCAAATCATTACTATAAATCCAAATCTTTAAATTTAATAAATGAATGTGGAAATATGAGAGGAAATAATAGTGGAAGAAATATTAAATATGAAAAATGAAAAGTGTTTGATCAGGAACACCACATTTTGTTTGTCAGGCTCATATTGTATGCAAACATGGTTTAGTTGTGATTTTCATGGGATGGCATGGCGACCTCCTTGGTTGCCGGATCACCTGGAGACCAACATTCAAACTGTCGCAATCATGGCGATCTCCTTGGTTGCCGGATCACCTGGAAACCTACGTTCGAACTATCGCAATCATCATATCTCAACAATTAATTGTTGGAACATATTATCTCATGAATTTTTTCCCACAACATTATCTCATCAATTTAGCCTATATTATTGTTAAATTTTATTAACTCATTAATAAAATATAAATTAGGATTTATATTAATCATTTTATATTTTAAGGTATTAAAACATTTAATTTTAATCCATACATATTTAAATAATAAAATTTGTATACAATAATACATTAATCTCTCACATAAAGCGCCTCATTACAATGTTCGCAAGAGACGTTTTCCCAAACATGCCTTCTTATCTCATAATGCCGTACACCGAAATGGTAATATTTTAATATATATTTGACAAAAGGTGCTGTTTCCATATATTATAATTTATTAGATGATATTTGGATAAATGAAACCTATATTGTGCATCAGAGAGATTCCCATTAAAGACGAAGTCATCAAACACCCAGAGATGGGAGTGCAGAGTCCCTGTCTATTTCTGTCATCACTTGCACTGATCTATGTTGCAGTAAACCAACCAAAAATTCATAGAAACTCAATACAACCAAAGCATCAGAGAGATTCCCATTTTAGACTGAGTCATCAATCACCCAAACAAGGCTGTGCAGATGTCCCTGTCTATCTCTATCATCACTTGCAAATCAAATATTTTTTTAAAAAAAAATAGAGAGAATAAGAGTATGCATTGTTCTGCGCCTCAGATTTGGTTTGTTTCAAAGAGAAAAACCTCTCTCGAAGTATATTTAATACCATCACAGGCAAAAACAAAAGAGCATAAAAGGATACTAAAATTAAAAGGAGGTTGGGGACTTACCAGATTTGCAGGAGGAGGAAATGGTGGCGGAGAAAGGAGGAAATAGGGTTTATGTTGAAACGCGAGGTTTCAGGGTCTGTGGTGTTGTTTATATACGGGTGAGAGAGGGAGAGTACCTTTTTAGGGTTTTTATGCTTTAGGGAGTGATGGGCTTACAAACATAGCGACCCAGCCCACGTAGTTTCGACATTGGTTCGAGCCCATTGGCTTCAGAAAATATTTCATTTTCCTCGTAAGCAGTTGGAAATAAATTTTAGGGTAAATTACACGTTTGGTAACTGAACTTTACTCTTCATACTTTTAATTTTTTCCAATTTACTCGTTAAACTTTACTGGTTTAATTTTTTTATCACTCACCTACATTATCTCAACCATTTTGCCAGCAATTCACGACCTTTTAATCCTCACCATTTTGCCACATAATCATCTAATATATCAAAAAATATTTTTCCTATTTTTTTACATTCTGAATAACGCAAAAAAGAAAAAAAACTAAAAGAAAAAACTTTAATATTTTAAAATATGGAATTCTCGTGCTAAAATTTTAGAATTTGAGTAGAATAACATATTTCACATTTGATAAGTTCAAATATCAAATAAAATTTAAAAATCTTTCTAATACTAAAATGATAAGTAATAATATCTTAGATAATTCAAAACCATATTTAACGATTTCTAATATGAAAATATTAATCGATGACCAATGCATTCGCAACGTGTCATTGGATGATAGTACATATTTTGAAAGTACTAAATTGGTATTTAAAAGATGATAAATTACGTATTTAATACATAAACTATAAGTTTTGGTCCGTTTTAGTGTTTAAACTTTAAAGATTTCAAAATCATACCTAACATTTAGTTTTTGTTACATTTCAGTACCTATCTGTAGACACTCATTTTCGCCTGGAGTTATTTTATTTTATATATGTATATAGTAATATAGTTTGTGAAAATATTTTTGACAAAATATAATATATAATTTTTAGAAAACGATTTTTGAAAATTTATATACTATATAGTTTTTGAAAATATTTTTAAAATATAATGTATAATTTGGAAAATATTTTGAAAACATTTATATATTGTGTAGTTTTTAAAACATTTTGAAAACTTATATAGTATATAGTTTTTAAAATATTTTTAAAATATAAATATATGGTTTTAAAAATATTTTTGAAAAATTATATAATATATAGTTAAAAAAATATTTTTTGAAAGATTATATAATATATAGTTTTAAAAACATTTTTGAAAAGTAAATAATATGTAGTTTTAAAAACATTTTTTGAAAACTCATATAATATTTTTTAATTATTTTTTAAAACTATATAATATATAGTTTTGGAAAATTTTAGAAAAATAATATAAAGTTAAAAAAATGTTTTTTGAAATGTATATATTATATAATATATATTATTATTGGTATTTATTATTATTATTATTATTATTATTTTATTTATTTACTTTTCGTTTTTTCTCTCTTTCTTTATCTCATTTTGTCTAGGGTCCATCAAGGTTCAAAAACGGGCAGCCCAAGTCACGGTTCAGAATAGGGTCTGACCCAACCCATAATCGATACCCAAGGTTAGGGTTTCAACATGTCACAACGCTGCATGGATCAAGTTAAGAAAGATACCAGAACCCTTAACGGCGCCATAAATCAGGGGCAACAAGGGTCAAAGCACGAAACAGTTTCTGGCCGACATCCCCGGGACTGAACCATCCCGGGAAACTCGGTCAAGCAACAACCCACGACATTCCCGAAGATCTCGGAACAGCCCGTACATCTCGGGGCTAGAAACGGCCAGAACCAAGCTATAAAAACGGTGAGACAACCACACCGGGGGGGACCAAACATCAATCATCACTGCCAACAAACGAAACCAGACACACATCATCGAGCAAAAACCATCATCGGCCAACAACACACTACCAACAACAGTAAGCTAAACACAGAAAACCCAGAAACAACAGTAAACTAAGAGACATCACAACCATACAAAAAAGCGACCACAAAAATATCAGTTAAAAAATAAAAACAATCGAGTAAATAGCGAAGAACAAAGAGACTGAAGAGCCTCCAGGAAGCCAAGAAGACGCAGTCGAAGGTAAAAATCATACCTTTGGGTGTAGATCTACGCGTTTTGGGGCTACTTTGTGAAATTTTGGCTCTGATTTTGGGTTTATGGGGTAGAGAGGAGTGCAGCGGCGGTTGGCGGCGTTAGACGGTAGCCGGCGTTGGACCGGGAGGGGTTATTTGGGAGAATTGATAGAGAGAGGGCAGAGAGAAATATTTAAGAGAGAGGGATGAGAATTTGTAAAATGAGTGAATTTGGCCTTGGTTTGGGCCATATGTAGTCCCCACGAAACGACGTAGTTTCGATGGGGGTGGCTCGTAATTTTGTTTAGGGGTTTGTCACAGAATGGGTCCCTCATCCCGTGTAATGTTGCTTTCTGGCCATAGATTGAACTTTTAACTTATTTAATTTGAGCATTAAATTTCTAGAATTTGTATGTTAGTCCGGTTCTGATATTGCATGTTTTTGTGTCAATATTTGAATTTAACTCTTATATTTTCATATATTTTGTTTTGGTCACTAACGCTGATTTATTTTATTTTCATTTTGATCTCGTAATTTTATAAAGGTTGCGCTTTATCATTATTTTTTGTGTGTTTGGTATTTTAGGTGATGTTTGAATTTTACCTTATAATTTATTTATTTTTCTTTTTAGTCACTTTTAATTATCATTTAGTTTAATTCCTCCGTACTCCTTGGTTAATTCATTCTATTTCTTTTTCCTCTTTCACGGTTTTTTTGTTTAAATTTTTTATTTTTTTATTTTCTATTTTTTTTATTCTCATTTTTATTTTTTAACTAACCCTTTTACTTTTTATTTTTTATTCATTTTGTTTTCTTTTATTATTATTTTATTTACTTTAGTATATTATTTATTTATTTATTTTACTAACTTGTAATTATCTCTGTTACCTATTTTATTTTAGTATTTTCTTGTATTTATTTTCATTTTATCCTCTAATATTTTTTTTGACATTTCAGCTGAACTTTCAAACGATCAAAGGTAGACGATTATAATCGAATACTTTTAAATTTTAATTTTAAATTTTCGCAACTAAGACAACCGATAAATTAATTGGTACCGAAAGGGCGGTTCAAGGGTGCTAATCCTTCCTTAACCGTAACCGACTCCCGAACCTGACACATTTCTGGTAAAACGCAGATCAGGTAAGATGGTGTCCGACCCACCTAAATTCGTTTTAAAATGGTCGGTGGCGACTCTAACCCGATTCATTCACATCGAAGCCTAATTTTGGGCCCATCCGAAAGAATGTTCCGACACTATCGTTAAAAACTAAACGTGTTTAGTACATAAACTATCATTTTTGGTCTGTTTTAGTACCTAAACTTTCAAATTTTTAAAACATAATGTTAAATTTTGAACGGGTATTAAAATGAAACAAAATTGAACTTTAGGTATGTTTTTTAAGTGATTGAAAGTTTAGATACTAAAACAGATCAAAATCGATAGTTTAAACACTAAACATGTAATTTACCTCTTAAACCAGTACAAATATTACAATCAATTTTTGGAAGTACACGAACCACATTGAGCAAATGCATGAACATTAATGACATTTTAACTTTTATCTTGTCTTTAAAAGAAAGCAAACCAATTAGGAAAAAGCTTACTAAATGCATATAGATAAAGTTGATTGTTCATGCATGCTTATCTTCTTCTTAAAGCAAAAAGACATTCCATCTATATTCACCGCCATAATCAAAACTCAAAGGCAGCTTCAACTATTTCATCCTTATACTCTTTCTTATTTAATATTTTTATTTAAATTCAAAATATTTTAATTAAGGTCGGACCATTCCATGCATAGGGTAAAATTGGCCAATAGGTCAGGCGAATGAAAAAAAAGTTAGTCCATAGGCCATCTACAAAATTAATTTGGGAGACAAACTTATCACATCTACATTACGAGTTTGTTCAAATAACATTTTTTTATCGACGTGATGAGTTCTAATAAAATATAATTTTTATTAGATTTTGTCGAGTCATAATAACAAATTTCAATAAAAAAATATTTTATTAGAACTCTTAATATCTACGTTATGAGTTTTAAGTCACTATAATAAGGTTAGATAATTAGTCCACCTATTATATTCGATCAATATTGCTCATGCATAAGCCCCATAAGGTGTGCGGAAAATCTTAAAGATAATGTTTATATCTCAAGATATGGTGACAAGACATCATGGAAGAAAGTAGAAACAACGGATGCTATGCTTTGGCATCTCACTCACGGCACTGTCTTATTCATTTTACACTGATTGCTGAGTGGATCTTACCCATGGAAAGCATCATAATTTACGTTTTCTTGCATCACATTTCTTTATGTAGATTAATATTTAATTAATTAATTAATTTAAATATTATAAAGTATAATAAAATAGTCAGCTCAGTTTGCTCATGATAAAAACCAGTCAAAGAAGAATGAGACAAGAGACATTTTATCGAAACGATAATGCGTCGGTTAGTAAACATTAAGTAAGATTTTGAGAAAAATAAAAGTTTAAATGCCAAAATAAAATAAATTTGATAATTTAGATATTTTGTGTGTAGTTTACCCAAAATGATAAACGATCAATGAATGATATTGTAAGATTACATGCATGGCTTGACTTATACAATAGGTAAATATTTGTTATCATGAGAAGGTTAACTGTTTTATAGCTTTAGGGACTGAAAGCATAATTTTACCAATTCACGAAGCCACTGCCCTTGTTTTTGTTTTTTTGATATGAAAGATCTGCGATCATTGGACTCTTGTCGTTGGGCATTTATCATTGAAGATAGTACAATGTGTTGTACTCGCTGAGTCTACTCTCCCTGCGCCACCCTCGTGGCCATAATCTTACGAAATATAATCACAACAAGGATGTTCAAGTACATTATTTATTTAAATGTCACATCTTAATTTATTATAACTATTTACTTTTTTTAAGATTTGCATATCTGGATGTGTTAAGTTAAAGAAAGACGTTATCGAAAATATTAATTTTTTTTTAACATTTTTAATAAAGCGCTACTTAAAACATTATTTTTTTTCTATCGAAAATGTTAATATTTGACGCTACGTAAAATGTTTAACATTTCCTGTAAAGCGTTACCTAAAACATTATTTTTTATCAAAAATATTAATATTGTGTTCTACTAGAAATTAGTTAGTGAAATTAACATTTTCGGTAAAAAAAATAATGTTTTAGATATCACTTTATTAGAAATGTTAAAAAAATATTAATATTTCTAATAAGATCTTTCTTTAACCGTATATTAAAGTTGTCCTACATTAAAACTAACTCTTACAAATCTTCACCGGTTAGAGTTGATTTTAATATTCAATGTAATAAAAAAGTAATTTTTTTAATATTCAGAGTTGATTTTACATTTTAAATACTTTTGACAGGTATAATCAGTAAAATTATGAATAAATATTTTGAAAATATAATAAATAGAAAATATTACATTGAAGAGGCTTTCATCTGCCATTAGGGATGCACATGGGATTTGAATCCGAAAAATTTCGATCAGGTCAATTCGGGTCGGATTTTGTAAGGTAAAAATACCTTACTCGAAAGAAATTTTAATTTTACCTTATATATTTAGCGACAATTGCAATAATTCTTCTTTATATATTATTTTTTCAATTAAATCTCTATTTTTATTAAATAATTTTTAATAAATATATTATTTCGGGTCGAATTCAAATTTTATCTCAAAAAATCTGATCATGTTCAAATTGGATAAAAGTTGTATAATTTTTATGTCGGGTGGATGGATCGAAAATTCAACCCGAACCGACACATGTCCATCCCTATATGCTTCGTGCAATGTGATAGTATTTTTTTGGGATGAAGTTTTGTGAGAGATTGTCGTGTTGTATCCTTTTTAACTGCTACCAAGGGGGATTTATGTTAACATTGTTTAGGACTTCTGTACAATTTTTTTACAACACTCCATCCTAAGCTTCTTTGTCATACAACCAAACCAAGCAACACTTTAATTAAATATTAGGTGTTGTTTAGTGTGGGAAAAGTAAGTATTTTTAAGTTAAAGTTTAAACTAAATTTACACGAACCAATTTATTTCGGTGGTTAATCGAACGTCATTGTTCTTAGAGGTAACGGGTTCGAGCACCAGCAACTGCAGTAGGATAATTAAACGTTCATTGTCAAATGATTGAGAGTATTTAAAACAGATACTCCTTTGTAGCACCTTTAAACTTCCAGATTTACAACAATAATTCATTACATGTTTTGAAACACTATATACGGGAGTAAATTTAGTGCAAATGATCTATAAATAATAAGAAAAAGTTAAGAATATGTTACCTCACTGAATTAATTATCACATCACTACAGTAAAAAACAATGTTAACGAAAAGGTATACTTGATTTGTTTTGTTAGTTTAAGTATCCAATTGAATGTAAAAAAGATCGACACGACATTTATTCTATAGATTTTTGCAATCATGAAAATACAGGGAAGATGTATTAAAAATATAAGGGTAAATTACAAGTTTAGTACCTAATATTATTTTTATTTCATTTTAATATCTAACTTTTTTAAATTATACATAATGTTTAGTTTAAGTTTTAATTTGACACATCAGTATCATCATTAAATTTTTAACTATAAAAATTAAATGAAATTTATTTTGCACACTAATTTTATTCGGAAACATAAGATGACTTAAATCAAAGTTTGTTTTCCCGATCTTGGTATATACAAGACATGTATATGTTTAAAGGTAACTTTTAACCATCTAACATTGAACACTCACACCTTTAGTATTACGGTACTCGAACTTGAAATGTTAAGGAATAACAACAATTCTTTTATCGCTAAGATCGTTTGGTTCGTGCCACCTAAACTAAAGTCTGTAAAAGACAACGGAGTCTTGAATGGAAATCTGGTTTAGGATCCACAGGGTGGAAGCAACAAAGTAGCACCTGGCGGTTTGAGAGGTCCCACCGGCACTGCTCGATGACTATCAGCTGAGACAGAGTGACGTCCCTTAATGCAACCGAGTATTGTCCCTTCTTCTATATATCCCCCACCTCCTCCTCCTTCACTTACCATCCGCTCCATTTCTTCCTCCCTAAGCTACCTCAAAAAATGGCACTTCTTGTCCTTCTCATGGCTTTTCTTCATTCTTTCATTCATGTTTGTGGATATGATGGGGGTTGGATTGACGCTCATGCCACTTTCTACGGCGGCGGCGACGCCTCCGGCACAATGGGTATATATGCATTCAATTTTTTTTATTGTATTTTCATATTTGAGAGAGATGATGAACATGAGTTTTGTTTTTTTGGATGATGATGATGAAGGTGGGGCGTGTGGATATGGGAACTTATACACACAAGGGTATGGGACTAATACGGCGGCTTTAAGCACAGCCCTGTTTAATAATGGGCAGAGCTGTGGAGCTTGTTTCGAGATCAAGTGCGTGAACGACCGGCGCTGGTGTTTGCCTGGCTCGATTGTGGTCACCGCCACCAACTTCTGTCCGCCAAACAACGCCCTCTCCAACAATGCCGGCGGATGGTGCAACCCTCCTTTGCATCATTTTGATCTCTCTCAGCCTGTTTTCCAACATATTGCACAATACAAAGCTGGAATTGTTCCCGTTGCTTATAGAAGGTAAAGTATACGTTTACTACCTCAACTATCACTTTGATAAATATTAGGGACTACTTTTAATATTATACCTTCTTTTTAATAGGGTGGCTTGCAGCAGGAGAGGCGGAATAAGATTCACAATCAATGGTCATTCGTACTTCAACCTAGTCCTCATCACCAATGTCGGCGGTGCCGGCGATGTTCAATCGGTTTCCGTTAAAGGGTCGAGAACCGGCTGGCAACCGATGTCGAGGAACTGGGGACAAAACTGGCAAAGCAACAGTTTCCCTAACGGACAGAGCCTGTCTTTTAAGGTCACCACCAGTGACGGCCGTACTCTTGTCTCTAACAATGTCGTTCCGCCGCATTGGTCGTTTGGCCAAACCTTCACCGGCTCACAATTCACCTAAACCCCGAAAATTACGATCATATTATCGCAAATCCGAGTCTAGAAGTGAAGAAGTGAAGTCGTAGATGGTGTATTAATGTTATGGTGGTTGAAGTTAGAATTTGATGGGTTTAGTTTCTATTCTGCTCTCTTTTGATACAGGCGGAGACACGGGAAATGGCGGCGGTGGTGGTGGTGGAGATTCGGTTTAACCACCCGCTGGCCGCCACTTATATTTCGGTTTTGGTTAATTGGTATTTGGTTTGCAATATTTTGTAGTGTTTAATTACTTTTTCTATAATTACTTGGCTTCATTCCTGCCATTGTTGCTGTTATGTTAAGCAATTCAAGGTCTACAGGACTGTAATGGCTTTTGGAAGACAACAAAATGTGATGAAGTTTTTTTTTATTAATTTAGAATAAGCATAATACAATATTTGTTTAAAGATAATTTTTAATCAATTATATTAAACGTTTATACTTTTGACATTTTTGATGCTCGAACCCGAACATTAAAAATATTAATAATTTTTTTTACTACCGAGATCATTTAGTATGTGCTAAAAGTTTGATGAAGTTTATATGACCATTGATATATATTTTTCTAATATGTTAAAAATTAGGATAAATTATACATTTAATACTTAAACTATCAAATTTGGTCTATTTTAATACCTAAACTTTTAATTTTTTCAAAATCATACCTAATATTTAGATTTTATTTCATTTTAGTACCTACCGTTAAAAATTAACACGTTTAATACCTAAAATATCAGTTTGGTCCATTTTATTCAAAACTTAACGTTAAACTTTGAACGGGGTACTAAAATGAAACAAAAACTAAAATTTATGTATGATTTTGAAAAAAATTGAAAATTTAAGTACTAAAACAAACTAAAAAAATGATAGTTTAGGTACTAAAGGCATAATTTACCCTAAAAATTATGAGATCCGTGTTCATCGAGTGGTTTCGGTGTTTAAAATGAGTATTATTCTTCTTGGTATTAAATTTGAACAATTGTGTTTATAGAATGTGTGTATTGATAATAACTATAAAAAATATTAACAAATACTATTTTTAATAAATTTTTAAAAAATACGAGATCAAGCAACCATAGTTTTTTATTAAAAATGTAAATACGAGAGTAAATGCAATTTTTAAATATTTTCAAAATAAAATGTCCAACTTATGCTAAAAATCAAAATTAATGGATAATAAATCTTGATAAAATTGTTAAATTTATTTATTTAAATTTTAGTATTAAATTATTTAAATATATTATGTATTTGAAAATTATTTGATATTTAGATTTAATTATAATTATATAATTTTTACATTTAAATTTAGATAGATATAAATAAATATATACATATTTAATTAGTTAATGAAATTTATAAATTTTGTTAAATTATTTTTTAATTGACTTAATATACGATTTAGTGTCTAAACTATACCTCAAAATAAGATTTGGTGCATAAATATTTTTTACTAACAATAGGTGTCTAACGTTTTCAACGTTACATTTTTAGGTGCCTAGACCGTAATGACCGTTAAATTTGACAGTCATGCATACAAAATTTCAAAAATTATTTTATTTCAGAAACTTAACATTATAATTAAAAAAATAAAAAACCCCCTCAAAATTTACATATGCACTGCCGATCGGCCACAGTCGGCCTGTGGTCGTCACCATCAGAATCGTCTTGTCATTGCAACCAAATTTCAGTCCCCACCCACAGTGAAATTGTAACACCCCAAACCCGTACACGACTCAGATACGAGTTCGATATATCACATTGACTTTTTAAAGCAATTTTCTTACAAAATAAGAAAGCATTTGAACTCATATTAATGCTAAAAATTTTCCAGAATGTCCGAGGGGTATTGATACGCTGCTAAAGTGTATCGATACCTTGCTACAGTACTGCTACAGTACTTCCGTAAAACATACATAAACTCTTAAAATTTAACCTTTCATCGCTGTACAATTACATTTACATACATATACGTTTAAAACCTTAGAAAACTCGATCAGAGCATTTATAACTAAAACATTTCTTACATGCCAACACACTATATACAACAAAAGACATACTTTATCTGTTACTTCTAATCTGATCTTCTAGTAGTGAAGCTATCTTTGCCACTCTTATTTATGCTCTACTTGTTTCTTGGTACCTACATGTAAATCACTTACACGCTAAGTCATAGACATAGTGAGACATAATAATAAACACATAACAATAAAATCATAAACATGTACTATCATCAATCTATTATGACATTTCAATGTACGAGTATGTACCATACTGTAATATATATAAATATGATATGCACAAATGAACTTTCACTGCTTATAAAAACTTTCATTTAATTGATCTTTGGATACCCATATACATTATTGAGAACAGGAGATACGTGAGTCCATTGAGGTTGTGCACGAATGCTGTCACCACAGCTCGAATAAATTCTCACTAGGGGCACTGAATATTTGTCCCGAATGACCACTATGTCCCGAAGGACCATTGATAATCCCTCGACTCTTGGTATGCCAATTATACCTACAACTCTCATATTAAATAACATGGGCTTAATTATAAATACATTTATCATTTTCATATCTCTTCCATCACTTTTCATATAAACACATAATTCACTTCAATTGTATACACATGATCACTTCCATTATTTCACCTACCCGAATGGATTCCATATAATTGCATTCATTCATATAAGTTTGTATTAAAACATGGATGGTTTATACATGAATTCACTATAACAATAATATATATATATATATATATATATATATATATATACGCATGTACATGAATATACAATCATAAATTCAACTATAAGAGATAGACTTATCGCAAGTCTTATCCCCGTACAACTCTATCTAAGATATGCACTCACCTTAGCTTTACTTGCTTTAACTCAATCCTACTCCTTCAATTGTTCCGGAACAGGATTACGTTCTATATCTACATAATAATACATGGATACATATCAATATACTAATAACATATCCTAATCTTTCATTTCTTAAACTAAAGGAAAGGTTGTTAGGATTTTCGGAAGCTCAAATTGACAACCGAAACGGTTTGCAAAGAGGGGTCTGTAACATCCCAAACTATGGGTTAGTGACTAAATTGTAAAAATTTAGAATTTGGTGATTAAAGTAGAATAGTTGAATAGTTTAATGATTTATGTGGAGATATTTCCTGAAAGTTGTTAGTAAATATTAAAGGAGTCAAATGGAAAATGAGTAATTGAATAAGGAAAATAATTAAATAATAATTAATGGGTATTATAATACCCACGTGGAGAATGATTGAAGAGATAAGCTTCCAAGCAATTCTCTTCTTCATCTTCTTCTCTTCTCCACGTGAAAGCTCAAAGAGAAGGTGAGTTCTCTGATTTCTTGATTGTTTGTTGATTTTAAGCATGAGTTTTGATCCTTAGATGATAACTAAGCTTAAGGAAAGCTTAAGTTATCTTAAAATCAAAAGATAAAGGAGTTATGATAAATTAAAGAGAATGAGTTTTAAGTGAAATTTTGAATAAGAATGTTTAAATGAATTTGGAGGATAAATTTGACTTGTCATCTATGAGAATAAGAAGTTAGAAGTGTTAGAATTAAGTTTGGATTGGAAAATTTGGTATGATTATTGATTTCTATATGGAGAATATAATTTTAAGGTTTAAGATGAAATAAATAGATATAAATGAGTTTAAGCATGTATATTTGAGTTAAGAATATGAAAGGGAATGAAACTTGAAGAATTGAAATTGAAAGAGTGAATTTTCGTGCAATGAACAATGATTTTTGGGTAGATGCATCGATGCATTAAGGGGTGCATCGATGCATGGATATTTCGAAGCTATTTTGTGTACCGATGCACCCATAGTGCATCGATGCACTCTTAAAGGAAAAGTTGTAATTTGGTTTATTAAATTAGTCTGAGTTATTAACATCAAGTTATAAGGTTTAGGTTTCTGATAATCGTCTCAGAAATTATGCTTATGTAGAAATTGAGCCTAAACAAGTTTCGGAACAATCAAAGAATTAGGATCGAATCAAAGCAAGGTTAAGGTGAGTACATCTTATTTTGTAGAATTATATGGAAGTTTGGACTTGCGATAAGTCCATTTCCTATAAGTCTAATGCATGAGTATACATGTTGATGTGTTTTTGTATGTACTGTAAAGTTAGATGTTTATATGATAAAATGAGAATATGAGATAAGTTATGTGGTATTAACATAAGTAATTATATGAATGAAAGAGATCATATGAACAAGAGATAAGAGATTTGAAGGATAATATTATAGAAGTATGACAAAAACATAAATGATGACATGTATGTGTGTATGTATGTAATTGTTATATAAAAAAGTATATGAGTTCATACCAACATTATGTGACTTGAATATGCAGGAAAAGTTATATGAGCTATGTGATAAAGGTATGGAAATAATATGTCTATGAGATACACTAGGTGATTTTTATGTGTATGAATACATGGAAATGGGTATATGTTATTATATGTGACATGATCTACATGCTTACATATATATGTGATAGATGATATTGAACTACAGGAATATAGGAAATTATAATATAAGCTATGTGTTATTGACAGAAGTGATTATGCAAAATTGTGAGAGAAGTTATATGGCAATGATATATGGACTATACGAAAGTATGTATATGAGTGCATGTATAAGTTTAGATGTTATTCTACATGCTAAGTGATGTATATATGTGAACAAGAAACGACATATGCACATGAACAAATGAGAAATGATATAAGCCATATGAAATGAGCTACGTGATTACATGTAATATTAAATATATATGCTTACACATACATGTGGTATGTGACATAAGAGAAAGAACAAGTGATATGAAATGTTATAAATTATAATGCCCATGTTATGTGATATGAGAGCTAGGGGTATAGTTGGCATGCCAAGGGTCGAGGGTTTACCTATGTTTTTCGAGACATATGGACTGTTTACCTATGTTCTTAGGGACATATGGACTGTTTACCTAGGTTCTTCGGAATCTATGGACTGTTTACTTAGGTTCTTCGAAATCTATGGACTGGTCCTTCGGGACATTTATATGAGTTATGGTGACAGCATAATTGTGCACAACCTCAATGTACTCACATACCTTAAGTTCTCAAAAGTATACATGGGCTAATACATAGACTTTAAAGAGAGTAAATAAATCAAATAATATGATACAATGTGTGTTCTGTTGGGAATATGAAATATGTTATAGAAATTACATGGCGATATGTTTATTCCTTGGTATAGTGATATAGGTGTTATATGATGAGTATATGGTAAGTAAAAGGGATTAATGATAGTATTTGCAAATGTATGCTCTTTGTTTATATGAAATGTTATATGGTTATATTATATGTATTATATG